GGCATCTGGCTAGGGGTATAAAGACAAAACGTCAGCTGCAGTCTTCCTGGACTCCTACAGGATGCGAAGAGGCAAAAAGTGTAGCACCGACAAGCAGGGTGAGCAACATGCAGCTTGACACAATTTCCCTCTATGCTATTCAGAAGGGTGGGGTCTGCCCAGTGGGTCTGAGATCCCCTCTTAGTCAGCTGCTGCCAGGAGGAGGAGGCAGTGCAATGTGGGATGAGCAGATAACAGGAGATGGAGGGGAAGTAAGGAGGCCTGGATTTCCAGAGCTGGCAGGTACAAGCCTGAGGAAGGAATGCAGCTCCTTTCCTGAGTGCAGAGATTCTTCAATTCAGATTGTTATTCAGAAATCCAGAATCTATGATCAAACAGGTTCATCCCAGTTGGTTTCTCTAAGTAGGGTAACCTGTGAGAGAATCCTAGATCTCATCTCAGGTAGCGTCCTAGAGATGATCTGAATGGTTTTTTTTGTTTGTTTGTTTTTTTGTCTCAGCTCAAACTATGTGACTGTCCTTCACATTCTCCTGAATAAGTTTCTTTAGGGAAATCACTTCCCTTTTGGGTAAGAGAAATAAATTATGTTGAATTCTTCCCTTTAATTTTAGGCAACTTGACTCCCCCAGACATGAAAAGTTACAGATTAACAGAGTGTTAGGGTATTAAAGTAAAAGTGATTTAAAAGATCATTCACATGTTTCATACTTCCTCTGGGGGGAGTTATAATTTTTAAATGGCTTTAACTCTTTTGTGCCCTGGAGACAATAACCGAAGACCAAACCTAGTTTGATTTCCACAATTAAGAGATTTGGTATAATGCTTTCTGATTTCACAGAATCAAGGGCATAATGGCAATTCAAAATACCTACTAAAGTGGGAAGTTTAATAGAAGATGTAGAAAAAAACACGAAATTTCTTTTCAATACACAGAATCCAATCCTTATCTAACACTCACAATATCTGAAGAAGAATGGAAAGATCATTATCTAGAGATAAAGGAGAACTTAATTTGACTGTGTAAGAGCTTCCCCAAATTTTTCGCAGCTTGTCTTGAAAGGCCCTGTATTTCATTCCTTGAGTTCTTAACTCTGCCCATAGTTATAGAGGATCTGAATATTAAGGGACAACTTCAAGTACTAAATTAAAGGATGGAGGATTTGTCAATCATTTGAGAAGAGTTATGTCACTAATAAAAGAAAGAGAAGTGTCACATTAATTCCAGAAAGTTTATCCTCAGATTCCTGAAAGTTAAATGCAGAGTCTAAAATTTGCCCTCTATTCTTTGTTTTCAGATTAAGATAAGGGTACAAATGTTTAGGTTACACTGTTTCCATTTCTAAGGTAAAGTTGAGCCCTTCACCCTGGGTGATGTGCTGAACACCCTCCCACTGAGCACACTAGGTGAGATCCCACCAATTGCCCTCCCTCCTCCCTTCTTCCTTCTACCTCCTCTCCCTCCCCCCTTGCTAGACTATAATGTGTTTTCCTTTCCTGTGGGTATGTATTGTTTACATATTCATTTCATATTAGTATTGAGCACATTGGATAAAATTTTTCCCCCTTGTTGTGACTTTGCTAGGAAGAATGTGTTTCAACTACATCCAGGTAAACACAAAAAATGTAAAGTCTACATCTTTTCTTACGGCTGAATAATACTGCATGGCATATGAACGCCACAGTTTCTTAAACCATTCATGGGTTGATGGGCACGTGGACTGCTTTCATGTCTCAGCAATTATGAAGTGAGCTGGAAAAACATTCTGGTGCAAATGTCCTAGTGGTAAAATGATTCTTGTTCTTCTGGGTAGATACCTACTAATGTTGCCCTCTGTTCTTGATTATGCTATGAATCACAAAGAGAATATTTCTTGGATTGACTCTAATTAAACTTAAGTTATAATGAATAAAAATAGTGATTGTTTTTAATCTGAAGGAGCCACTTGTCTTTACTTTATGCAAATTATTATATATAGCTTAAGCTATGAACACGGGGACTTAGAGGATGCTCTATTAAGGGTGAAGGTAGATGGGAACTAGGTTATAAAATAAAGGAGTCTTCATCCAATAATTTGTCCACTTGCATATTCACTGATTAATGCTGCAATAAAATTTTAAAAGCAAGCAAACAAACAACTGCAATGACAACAACAACAAACAGAGGACAGAGAGCTTGAAACATTAAATTCGGAATAGTAAGACTGAATGAGATTTCTAAAGAAACACAAAAAGGATGGGTAAAAATAAAATCAAAAATGGAATGGTAATAGGCAAATGGCTATGGAAGAAGGTCCAAATGGGCCATAATGTGTAGAATCCCTCTGCAAAGCCCTAAATCATGTCACTATGAAACATCATCAGAGAACTTCTCTTCCAAGTAGTCTGATAAAACCAGCCCATGTTTCCCTGATGTCCAGTTATCTAGTAAATCTAGTGGCCAATACAGACATCCAGAAAATGTTCAAAGTTTTAAGTCAAATAGACCTAAATTTAAATTTGTATTCTGACTTTCACCCTATCCTGGAGAAACTCACTAAACCTCTCTTCTCCACTTGTATGTTTTGAATAATATCATTGTTCTTAGTCTATTTGTTGAAAAATGAGACAATAGCATCTATTTTATGTGTTTACTTCTGGGACAAGGAGATATTATTTACAAACCAGCAAAAAAGTGAGATGTCTAAGATCTGGAACATGGGAGAAAAATTAGAAAGTGTATTTGCTTAGCAACAAACACAAAAATTAGTGACATTAGTAAGATAGACCACACTGAACTTTAAATGAACCTAAACTTCTGCCTTTGATTCATGTTTCAGTTGGTGTCTGTGGAAACTCTAACTTTAGGGAAGAACACCAGAGTCCTCAGCCCTGCTGCTGTGGCACTTCCAGACTGGGCAGATGACGGTGCTGAATGATTTGGTGGGGGCAAATTCAAGGACAAGATCAAGACCTCAGGAAAGTTGCTCTAAGGTGCTGAACAAAATGTTTTTCTAGTTTCCTAAGTGGTGGGAAATGTTGAGTTAATGCAGTGAATGAATGATTCTGTGTAGTATCAACTGAGAAAAACCAGGTTCACAAGTTTGGAAAGGAGACCTTTATTTCTCATAGAGTTACATCCTGCAGGCTAGCAAAAGCATAGCCTCTGGCAGAATTAAAGAGCAGGCACTTTGGGGGAAGGGAGGAAGAGACAGAATTTTATGCTAAACAGGTTGGCCAAGTACACATATTCATCAGGGTATAGGAGCAGCTATGAATATTCACAAAGGAGGAGATGCACGTGTAGTAGGCTAACCTGTATGTAAAGTGTTCTAAGTTCACTTTGGGATGGAGACTTAACATTGAAACGTATTCCAAGTATGTGGGTCATTGTGAAAGTTGTTAGAGACACAAAAATCAAGAAATGTAAAATTTACATGGATGGAAACAAATGAAGCCCTCCTAGCAGCACCAATATGACGAGCACGTTGAAACTTGCAGGGGTGATTCAGAAAAGACACTGTCAGCTGTGTTTCTTGGAAGTGAAATAATGAACTGTAACGCAGTCTGTCTCAAATCATTCATAGGGACCTACAGACAACTTTACATCAAAAGGTAAAGCAGAGGACACAAAGTCCTCAGGGTCCAGCCTCCAGACAGTGATCAGAACCACTCCATGGTTGCTGATCTCTTACAAGAAGGAATACTAGTCAGTCAGCTGTCTGGAAACTGCAAAAAAGGAGGGGCAACATTAGGTGGTGTTGGCCAAAATCAGAGGAAGAGCAAGTCTTTAGAATAGGCTGGGTTTTGTTTAAACCTTTGGAAAGAGTGTAATGGATAGGGATGGAGAGTTATAAATGCATGTGTCTGCCCTCCCTTCCCACGATGGCCAGGAATTCAGTCTCTGATGTTTCTATGGGGTGCCTTTGGCCAAAAAGAGGTCCATTTGGTAGGTTGGGAACTTAGGTTTTTATTTCTCAAAGGCCGTCTACACCCTAAATGGTAAGGGAATTTAATGACCCACGCTGGTATTCTCTAGGAAAGGTATAAAAGAAGCCAGAATATTTGAATGTTCTCAGTGACCTGCTGAGAATCAATTTTTGCCTCCATTTCCAAATTTTTCTGTACCTATTTTCCTTCTCAACCTGAAATTTTATCATTACTGGGACTTGATTAAAACAGAAAGTTAATGTTTTGCACCTGAACCTTCTCTTTCTTTAATAGACATAAGCATATGTGTTTTTTCATTTTAGTTAAAATTCTTCCTTCTCTGTCTACCAACCAAGTTAATTGTCAGATTCTAATGAAATAAATATCAAAGGACTTGGAGAGTACTGCATAGTTTTTTCCAGTGGAATACCAATGAGGACCAGAACAAAGGCAGGACAATGTGATGATGATGGCGATGGTGGTGAGCATTTGGAGTGTGCTTTACACTTTAAAGAATATTGACAAACACTTTCATTTAGTGACACTATATGGAGAGTGAAAAAATACAGAGTGTACAGTTGGAAGCAAGGAAATTCTATAAGAATACAATATGTTATCTTTTATCCTTCCATATGCTAAGAAAGTGAATGATAAAGGTTCTCCACCACAAAAATGAAAACTGCATGTAAAGGCAATCCATGTGTAAGCTGGAGTTCACCATTTCATGGTGTATATTTACCAGAAAACACCATCTTGTATATGATGAATACATATATTTTATGTCAAGTTTAAAAATAAATAAATTTGGAAAAAAATTACTAAATTATGAATTCACCTCAGTAACTCCATTCTGCTAGGTAGGAAAACTTAAACTGCTGTTTCCAACCTGCATTTGTTTTGAGAAATATCGATTAATGGATGCCCACCTTGCACACTGCTCATGAAGATCAAAGCCTGACAAAGTGAGTAACAATTAATGGAAAAGCTTACACAGCAAAAATGACTTCGTAATGACGGATGTCCCATCACTGTTCTTCTGTCTGCCAAGACTGCTCAGCTCACATCTCCCTGGACCTCTCAGCTGCCCTCAGAGGATGCTCTCTCCCCACTCCTATGCCAACATCTCCTTCTTCCAGCCACCTGCTTTCCTCATGATTGGCATCCCAGGGCTGGAGGCCATACATGGCTGGATCTCCATCCCCTTCTCCTCCATGTACACTGTGGCTCTCACAGGGAACTGCCTGATCCTGCTGGCTGTGAGGAGGACTCCCAGCCTGCACCAGCCCATGTACTTCTTCCTGTCCATGCTGGCCCTCACCGATGTGGGCCTCACCTTGTCCACACTGCCCACCACCCTGGCTGTGCTCTGGTTTGACCATCGGCTCATTGGCTTCAACACCTGCCTGGTCCAGATGTTCTTCCTGCACTCCTTCTCTGTGGTGGAGTCCTCGGTGCTCCTGGCCATGTCATTTGATCGTTTTGTGGCCATCTCCAATCCCCTGCGCTATGCAGCTGTCCTCACAAATAATGTCATCCTCAGGATTGGGCTGGCCATCATGGCCCGTGCTACCTTGTGCCTCTTCCCTGTGCCATTTCTGATTAAACGCCTAAACTTCTGTTCTGGCAAGAACTTCCTGTCCCATTCATTCTGTTTCCACCCTGATGTGATGAGAAGGGCCTGTGATGACATCACCATCAACATACGCTATGGGCTCTATGTGGTACTGTCCACAGGTGCCATAGACTCTCTGCTCATAATTTTATCCTATACTCTCATTCTGCACACAGTCATAGGTCTGGCCTCTCCCAGGGAGAGAGTCCGGGCCCTCAACACCTGTGTTTCCCACATTCTGGCTGTATTTGTCTTCTTTATTCCAGGAATCACCATGTCTATGATCCACCGTTTTGGAATGCACCTGCCCCACATTGTACATGCCCTTGTCGCCTATGTGTACCTTATGGTGCCTCCTGTGCTCAACCCCATCATCTACAGTGTGAAATCCAAGCCCATCAGGGAGGCCATGCTAAGGGTCCTGAAAGGGAAGGGGCAAAACTAATGAAATCAGGAAGGATTTTAGGATCTGAGTACCTTAAAAGACACTGCTATGGCCTTGCAGGAACTTGTTTGAGGCAACAAACACTGAAAACCCCTAATTCATGCTAAAAAAAAAAAAAAGTGGGAAGCCCATGAGTTTTACTAATGTTACAAATTTGTGTTCCTCAAAGGAGTAGTGATGAAAATTAAAGACTGAGAAATAAATGTAACATGTTCCTATTTCTCCAGAAGCTCACAGTCTTACACCAGATACTAGACAAGCAGCATGCAAAGATACAACCAGACGATTAACAAATAAATGCCACAAGGAAGTTCTTCTACTCAAGAAAATGCCAAGGTCTGCAAAGTGGTAGTGGACAGACTTGCCTGGTAAGATTGGGAAAGCTTCCTCAAGGGAGGAAATAATTTGTTATATGATCTTCAAAAAATGGATAGCTTTTCTAGGCAAAGTAGGAGTTGAGTAAGGATAGGAAAAATCTAGGAAAAAAGAGGTGACATGAAAAGATGGTTTCACATTTTGAAGAACTGCAAGTGTTTGTGAAAAGGTTTCTACTCCCATACTTTTTTTATGTCTCTACCACTTGTGATGGAAACACAGGGACAGAAACCAATGAAGCCCTCCCGGCAACACCAATAAGATGAACAAGTTGAAACTTGCATGGTTGTATCTGAAAGGACCCTGTCAATTGTGTTTCTTGGAAGTTAAACAACACACCATAACACAGCCTGTCTCAAAACTTTCATAGTAACCTACCTACACTCTTTACATCAGAGGACACAAAGCCCTCAATGTGCAGCCTTCATCATACACTGGTCACAGCCACTCTAAAGTTGCTGATCTCTTACCAGGAGGGATTGCTAGTCAGTCTGCTATCTGGAAACTGCAAAAGGGGAGGGACAATGTTAGGTGGGAATGGTAGAGGATGAAGCCACAGGGTAGGTGACCACGCTCTTCAGGACTATATGTACTATGCTAAAGTGCTGGCTTTTATCCAGTTCAAAAATGGTAATTTATTATTTTTTACTATAAGTTAATAGTACGAAATGCAGATTAGAAGTATGTTGGCTGTATGAACTAAGCAGAGCTAGGAAGAGGAATCAGTTTATGCTCTTATATGGTCTCAGGATTTTCCTACACACTTTTTATGCCTACATATTCTTATCCTCCTACCTGACTATGTCATTTACAACTAGTCTTCTTATTTGCCATTTATACCTAAATTCCCGGAAAATCCTGCTTCATTAATTCTCCTTTCCACACTATTCAAGGGAATGTATTTTTTTCCTGCACACATACAACACTTTTCCATTCCACTAGACTGTGCGCCCCCACTTGCCAACATATACTCAAGTACCTACTGTTGTTGGTGGAATAGTAGGTGCTCAGGTAATTATTTTGAAGATCTAATTATAAATGACTTTGAACAGGTGATCAGGTGATGCCTTACTTACTTAAGAGAAAATTTGGAGACATTTACTTCCAGGGAACTTCTGTCATTCAGAAGAAATAATACACATAAAAAAATTAGAAAAGTTTGGGAAAAGGTTTTCAGGTGAATTTGCATAGCTGAATTGGAGACGTGAGAAATACAATACAACTGCTTAAATTAAGTACTCTCTCTAAGTGAGAGTTTTCTACTCTTTCACCCTAGGGGTTCTCCTGGACCCTTTTTCTGGAAGTGATGCCCTGCCCACCTCAGTGAAATACTCTGGCTCTATAAAACATTCTTGTAAAAGGAAAAGAAAAGAAAGAAAGTAAAAAGTTTTAGGGGGATGCAATACAAATATAAGATTTGTTTATATCTGACTGAGGGTATCTTTGGAGAAAGTGAAGCTGGAAGCACCCATGTGTCCTTCTCCTCATGTCCTCCACTTCTACTCCCCCTACAGGGTGGGGTCAATTTCAAAAGATCTTAGTATATAGTGTCAATGCCAGGTGAGTGGGTAAAAACACCTGCTTTACAGTCAGGGAAACAAAACTTGCTCAAATTCTGTAAAAACTAACTTATACTGTCAGCTAACTGATTGGGAACATTTTATCCTTTGTACATTAGCAAATAGTTCTTTTTTTCTTTCACAACTATGTACTAGGCACACTGTTACATGCTCAGAATAAAATGGTACCAAACACCTTGTGCGAGGAATACATATTTATTAAATATGTATACAAATTAACATATATTTGCAAAAGCACGATGCAGTATTCCTTTTGGCTTCTCGTCCCCCAATAGACTGTATCCTCCATGCAGGTAGAGTCTAAGCCACCTTTGTCTGCATTGCATCTTCACTGCAGGATTCACACTTATTTTGATTGCACTAATATTAAGGGCACTAACAATGTATTTACTGACTATATTAGTTTGCTGTGGCTACATAATAAATTACAAAAAAAAAACAGCTGCTTAAAACCATACTCATTTATTATTTCACATTCTGAAGATCGGAAGTATCAGTGAATTTGGCTGGGTTCTTTGTTGTGGATCTTGTAAGACTAAAATAAAAGTGTTAGCTGACAGGGCTCTTATTTGGAATCCCTGGGAAAGGAACCGCTCCTGAGTTCATTGTGGTAATTGGCAGAATCCAGTTCCTGGAGGTTGTGCCGCTGGGATTACCTTTTCTATCCTGTCTGTTGGCCTCCCTCAGCTTCTTGGGGTTACTTACCTTTTTTCTCACATGGCCTTTCTATCATCAAACCTGCAAAAGTACACCACATCCTTGTCATGCTTGGCTTATCTCTGACTTTTGCTATCAGCTTGAGAAATGCTTCCTTTTTACGATAATATCCCACCTGGATATTATCTCCCCATCTTGAGACCAACGGTGACATATGACATAACATAATCCCAGGAGTGATATCTGATCAAATTCAATGGTTCTGGGAACTAGAGCAAGGCTTTTTTAGGGATATTTTAGAATTCTGCCTATCACAATGACTAAATAAGTGCATTAACAAATGGACAGTTCTGTGAAAGTTACAATAAAAGTTATCTGATCTGCTCTAAGGTATTAGGGTGGTTTTTCTCAAGAAATGGTAATTAAGGGGGTGGAGCCTGAATGTTGAAGATAAATTAACTGGGGAAGAGTAATTAGAGGAAGATGTATTAGGCAGAGAAAAATCACATCTCCAAAGAGCTTTAGAAGGAGGAAGCAGGTGAGATAAAGGAATGAAACAAAAGGTAGTAGGATTGGAAGTCAAAAAGCAAAGAGCCTATGTTTCAAGAGTAACCTGAGAATATAAATGAGCATCAGCCAAAAAGATGAAATATAATTAGTGTTCTGCAATGATGTACAAATGTCTTCACCTGAAATTTTAAAAAAAGAAAGAAAGAAAGAAAAATAATTAGTGTTTTAAGCAGCGGTGGCAGTGGTTTTGACATAATCATGTTTTCCTTTGGGCAGATCATTTTATATTGTATTATGGAGCCTAGATTGCATTAAAGCTATAATACATGCAAATTTAATGGTTAGAAAGGTATTAAAATAGTCTTGATGAGATTTATTCAAAATTTGAACTAGAAGAGTGGTGGTACAGACAAAGAAAAACAGACAAGTCCAAAGTTATAAAAGAAGTAGAAATTATATAACTTGATTATGGATTGACCATGAAGACTATGAGTAAAAAGGGAATGGACCAAGGATAACTCTGAGCTTTGGGGCTTGCATATTAAGATAAATAGTGGTACAATTAAGTGATATATGAGACATGAACAGAGGAATGTAATTGGGTAAAGCATATCATGAGTTTTATTTTGTACACTGTGACCTTGAACTCCCTTAGGAGCATCTAAATTTTCAGAAGCCATTACATTTGTGAGCATGGAGCTCTGCACTGTTGCAATAGTTTACTCCAGAGGTACAATTTAAGTCATCAATACACAGATGGCAATAGAAGCATGATTGCATAGGAATTAGAGGCCTGCTTCTAGTTCATTTTACACTATGTTTTTTTTACCAGGGGTAGCAGACTGTACGTGCAAAGGAAACTAAGAAATATCCAGAGAGATAGAGGAAAACCAGCCTGTGATGCCACAAAGGGCAAAGGATGAAAACACATCAAAAAAGAAAGAGTGGTAAACTGTGATAAATGTTATTGAGAAATCTGGTAAGGTAAAGACTGTAAATCTTAGGCACACAGAGGCCCTTGATGATGTATAGTTAAAGTTCTTTGAAAGAATTATATGAGAGATGCAGAAATGAAGATAAGTTATAGATAACTTGTCTAAGAAATCTGGCTATTAGAGTGGCGCCTGTGGCTCAAGGAGTAGGGTGCCAGCCCCGTATACCAGAGGTGGCGGGTTCAAACCCGGCCCTGGCCAAAAACTGCAAAAAAAAAAAAAAGAAATCTGGCTATTAAAGGGAAGATATAAAAAAGGAATATGGGCTCCAGATAGATTTACTTGTTGTCATTGCTGTTTTCAATAGGGAACAAACTTGAACATGGTAAATGCCAAGAGTGATTCATTTGAGAGAGTGAAATAGAATATCTATGAGGGGGGAGTGTCAATACTATAAGTTTCCTGAGAAAGTGGGAGGGGAGAGATCCAAAACAAATTAGTAAAAACCTATATGAGACTCAGCTTGATGGCACCTTGAGTACTAGAGACTTCGTAATAATTATACTAGTGTAAGTAAGGCCTCCCCCTTTGATACCTCTAATGTCTGCTCAGGAAAGGCAAAGAATTGTCTTACCTGAGCCCCTCACTTTTCAGGGTTGTTTTTTTTTTTTTCATTTTTTAATTTATTTATTCAACAACTATTAATTAGCACTGTGTTTACAAGACTAGAAAACATTAAGAATTACAAAATGATTTTTAGAGACTTGACACATCATTAGTTTATTTTTCACTTTTTCAATGTCCTGGTGCAAGTACAAGTAGGGGTTGCAACTGGGAGGGAATTGACTCTATTGAATTTCCTGAGGAACTGAGCTGCTATGATTCACCATGTGTAAGACTATAGCTTCCCAAACCCCATTTAATGTCAACATGGAAGATTGCACAG